CTCGGACCTTCACCTCTCACTGATCTGCTTGTCCGCAGATTTTTGGCCGCAACAAACGTGTAAGAAATGCGTCTTCTGTGTACAATAAAGGAGATCTCCGGTGACGCACCGATGATGTCATTGTATATGTTGTTCAGCAGTCACATGTCCGCGGCGGTGATGTCCTTGTATGTTCTTTTCCCGATCTGCTCTGGTTATCATCGCAGCAGTCCCCTATAGTCCCCATACAAGTCTATAAGTCCCATACAAGTCTATGGTTCTCCTACAAGTCTATGGTTCCCCCACAAGTCTATGGTTCCCATACAAGTCTATGGTTCTCCTACAAGTCTATGGTTCCCATACAAGTCTATGGTTCCCATACAAGTCTATGGTTCCCCTACAAGTCTATGGTTCTCCTACAAGTCTATGGTTCCCATACAAGTCTATGGTTCCCCTACAACTCTATGGTTCCCATACAAGTCTATGGTTCCCCCACAAGTCTATGGTTCCCCTACAAGTCTATGGTTCTCCTACAAGTCTATGGTTCCCATACAAGTCTATGGTTCCCCTACAAGTCTATGGTTCCCATACAAGTCTATGGTTCCCCTACAAGTCTATGGTTCCCCTACAAGTCTATGGTTCCCCTACAAGTCTATGGTTCCCATACAAGTCTATGGTTCCCCTACAAGTCTATGGTTCCCATACAAGTCTATGGTTCCCCTACAAGTCTATGGTTCCCCTACAAGTCTATGGTTCCCATACAAGTCTATGGTTCCCATACAAGTCTATGGTTCCCATACAAGTCTATGGTTCCCATACAAGTCTATGGTTCCCATACAAGTCTATGGTTCCCATACAAGTCTATGGTTCCCATACAAGTCTATGGTTCCCATACAAGTCTATGGTTCCCATACAAGTCTATGGTTCCCATACAAGTCTATGGTTCCCATACAAGTCTATGGTTCCCATACAAGTCTATGGTTCCCATACAAGTCTATGGTTCCCATACAAGTCTATGGTTCCCATACAAGTCTATGGTTCCCATACAAGTCTATGGTTCCCATACAAGTCTATGGTTCCCATACAAGTCTATGGTTCCCATACAAGTCTATGGTTCCCATACAAGTCTATGGTTCCCATACAAGTCTATGGTTCCCATACAAGTCTATGGTTCCCATACAAGTCTATGGTTCCCATACAAGTCTATGGTTCCCATACAAGTCTATGGTTCCCATACAAGTCTATGGTTCCCATACAAGTCTATGGTTCCCATACAAGTCTATGGTTCTCATACAAGTCTATGGTTCCCATACAAGTCTATGGTTCTCATACAAGTCTATGGTTCTCATACAAGTCTATGGTTCTCATACAAGTCTATGGTTCTCATACAAGTCTATGGTTCCCATACAAGTCTATGGTTCCCATACAAGTCTATGGTTCTCATACAAGTCTATGGTTCTCATACAAGTCTATGGTTCCCATACAAGTCTATGGTTCCCATACAAGTCTATGGTTCCCATACAAGTCTATGGTTCTCATACAAGTCTATGGTTCTCATACAAGTCTATGGTTCTCATACAAGTCTATGGTTCTCATACAAGTCTATGGTTCTCATACAAGTCTATGGTTCTCATACAAGTCTATGGTTCTCATACAAGTCTATGGTTCTCATACAAGTCTATGGTTCTCATACAAGTCTATGGTTCTCATACAAGTCTATGGTTCCCATACAAGTCTATGGTTCTCATACAAGTCTATGGTTCCCATACAAGTCTATGGTTCCCATACAAGTCTATGGTTCCCATACAAGTCTATGGTTCTCATACAAGTCTATGGTTCTCATACAAGTCTATGGTTCTCATACAAGTCTATGGTTCTCATACAAGTCTATGGTTCTCATACAAGTCTATGGTTCTCATACAAGTCTATGGTTCTCATACAAGTCTATGGTTCTCATACAAGTCTATGGTTCTCATACAAGTCTATGGTTCTCATACAAGTCTATGGTTCTCATACAAGTCTATGGTTCTCATACAAGTCTATGGTTCTCATACAAGTCTATGGTTCTCATACAAGTCTATGGTTCTCATACAAGTCTATGGTTCTCATACAAGTCTATGGTTCTCATACAAGTCTATGGTTCTCATACAAGTCTATGGTTCTCATACAAGTCTATGGTTCTCATACAAGTCTATGGTTCTCATACAAGTCTATGGTTCTCATACAAGTCTATGGTTCTCATACAAGTCTATGGTTCTCATACAAGTCTATGGTTCTCATACAAGTCTATGGTTCTCATACAAGTCTATGGTTCTCATACAAGTCTATGGTTCTCATACAAGTCTATGGTTCTCATACAAGTCTATGGTTCTCATACAAGTCTATGGTTCTCATACAAGTCTATGGTTCTCATACAAGTCTATGGTTCTCATACAAGTCTATGGTTCTCATACAAGTCTATGGTTCTCATACAAGTCTATGGTTCTCATACAAGTCTATGGTTCTCATACAAGTCTATGGTTCTCATACAAGTCTATGGTTCTCATACAAGTCTATGGTTCTCATACAAGTCTATGGTTCTCATACAAGTCTATGGTTCTCATACAAGTCTATGGTTCTCATACAAGTCTATGGTTCTCATACAAGTCTATGGTTCTCATACAAGTCTATGGTTCTCATACAAGTCTATGGTTCTCATACAAGTCTATGGTTCTCATACAAGTCTATGGTTCTCATACAAGTCTATGGTTCTCATACAAGTCTATGGTTCTCATACAAGTCTATGGTTCTCATACAAGTCTATGGTTCTCATACAAGTCTATGGTTCTCATACAAGTCTATGGTTCTCATACAAGTCTATGGTTCTCATACAAGTCTATGGTTCTCATACAAGTCTATGGTTCTCATACAAGTCTATGGTTCTCATACAAGTCTATGGTTCTCATACAAGTCTATGGTTCTCATACAAGTCTATGGTTCTCATACAAGTCTATGGTTCTCATACAAGTCTATGGTTCTCATACAAGTCTATGGTTCTCATACAAGTCTATGGTTCTCATACAAGTCTATGGTTCTCATACAAGTCTATGGTTCTCATACAAGTCTATGGTTCTCATACAAGTCTATGGTTCTCATACAAGTCTATGGTTCTCATACAAGTCTATGGTTCTCATACAAGTCTATGGTTCTCATACAAGTCTATGGTTCTCATACAAGTCTATGGTTCTCATACAAGTCTATGGTTCTCATACAAGTCTATGGTTCTCATACAAGTCTATGGTTCTCATACAAGTCTATGGTTCTCATACAAGTCTATGGTTCTCATACAAGTCTATGGTTCTCATACAAGTCTATGGTTCTCATACAAGTCTATGGTTCTCATACAAGTCTATGGTTCTCATACAAGTCTATGGTTCTCATACAAGTCTATGGTTCTCATACAAGTCTATGGTTCTCATACAAGTCTATGGTTCTCATACAAGTCTATGGTTCTCATACAAGTCTATGGTTCTCATACAAGTCTATGGTTCTCATACAAGTCTATGGTTCTCATACAAGTCTATGGTTCTCATACAAGTCTATGGTTCTCATACAAGTCTATGGTTCTCATACAAGTCTATGGTTCTCATACAAGTCTATGGTTCTCATACAAGTCTATGGTTCTCATACAAGTCTATGGTTCTCATACAAGTCTATGGTTCTCATACAAGTCTATGGTTCTCATACAAGTCTATGGTTCTCATACAAGTCTATGGTTCTCATACAAGTCTATGGTTCTCATACAAGTCTATGGTTCCCCTACAAGTCTATGGTTCCCCTACAAGTCTATGGTTCCCATACAAGTCTATGGTTCCCATACAAGTCTATGGTTCCCATACAAGTCTATGGTCCTCATACAAGTCTATGGTTCTCATACAAGTCTATGGTTCTCCTACAAGTCTATGGTTCTCCTACAAGTCTATGGTTCCCCTACAAGTCTATGGTTCCCATACAAGTCTATGGTTCCCATACAAGTCTATGGTTCCCATACAAGTCTATGGTTCCCATACAAGTCTATGGTTCCCATACAAGTCTATGGTTCCCATACAAGTCTATGGTTCCCATACAAGTCTATGGTTCCCATACAAGT